GGTGTGTATATATATATATATATATATATATATATATATATATATATATATAACTTTAATTCGAATATTGTGCATATAAATTTTCATAAAATATACTTGCGCGTGAAAGAAGGCTTTTTTTTGCAACTAAAACGTGATTATTGTTCGAGAATTTTTACCCATAGATTAAAAAAAATTAAATATAATGGATTGGTTGGTGAGTAATCAAATCGGTCGAGCTGATCTTGGAATCTTTTGCTTGGAGGAAAAACAAAACATTAGTAAAGACTAGTAGTCGATCATATAAGTATAACAGAAGATGACTTGCTACCCTTTACCTTACTCGAGGGCTAAGATAAAACCCGGAATTATCAGAATTACCGATGAGTCTCTCAAACACTACATTATTCTACTGATATTTTTGAGTTTCAGATTCATTATCCCTACAATTGAGCTTTCTTCACGTGGACAATCAGAATTCAGTTGACTTAAAAATTATTTCTATGAATTTTGTTAATCTTTCTCTAATGTACTCACAATTAAAAAAAATTATACAGGTATCGTGGCAAGCTTAGATCATATGAAAAATCATGATTGCAAATATTTTTTTATAAAAGAAATGCATCATGACTATATAAAGAAAAAATTTTCAAATATTCTAAAAAAAGTCAATTACTTAGCACTTATAATAAATTTATTCATTTGAAATGTATCATTTAAAAATTTAATGAAAAGTATGCAGATTTATTACATTATTGTATTAATGCATTCACTTAATGACATTGACTTAACCCGCTAATATATTAACAATACAAGGAGAGTAAAATAATCATTGAGCCAATAAAAATTTACGAAGCGTAAAAAACAATAATGACAATTTTATTAATATTTAATTTTTAACCTCCAGTTACAAGAATCAATGACGGAATAACTTTTAAACAGATGTAACTTAATTCCAAAACTAATCAGTTTTTAAACATAAAATACGAGGTGCTGCAAACCGTTTCAAAATCGGTTAATGCGTTGAAGAAAAATCAATGACGAAAAATTTTGAAAATAGTATATTACGTCCTAAGGCCAGAAAGTTGGATTTCTTTGCATATGTGATATGATGGCCGAGGCTTCGCTTGGCCTCAGCCACCATATCACATACATCAGGGCATCCGTTATTTTGGCCGTGGGTTGTATACCATTTCTCCTGATCCTCCGCCGAAATTAAGTTGAACAATAATGTTAATATATAAAAAAAGGATTACTATTATAGCTTATGACCATACGTCTCAGTTTTATTATATTAAAACTAGTATATAGTTACTAATTTCATTGCAGTTCTCGCGTATTTTGTAAAACCGAGGCGAAGCCGAGGTTTTTGTTGGTCGGGACGCGAACCAAAAATAAATAAACAAAAAATCCACGAATAAGTAACGATAATATAATTGAAAGCAGGAGATGGTTAAAAATTCACAGTACAAGTAAGACTTTATTATGTTGTTCAGAACTAACAACAGGCATTATCATTTGTTTTGGCATCATAATGCAAAATTTGTATCAATAACATAGTGGTCAAACTGTATCAACAACACAATAGTTAAACTTTATCAACAACATTCTATTATAATCGACTTTAATCACTTAATAGTATCACATTGCGATGATTTTTCTCACTTTAGGGAATGTTTCTCTTGTTGCACGTACATGTTGTGGAATTAAAAACGCAATTATTGAAAATACAATTAAAAAGTCTTAAATCATGTCTTTTCATTGTTAAATTTGGGTCATTATGGTTTTAAGGATTAAAATTTTCAACAGTTTTTTTTCTTTTTAAATGGCAATGGCTGGATATTTGATTAATTATTAAAACTTAATTCTATCCCTGGTTTCTCAACATCTGGTTTATTTTGACTTGTAATTGGTATTGGTTTTTTATTTGCTGTCGTAAAACCACTGTTGATAACGGCTCCAGCCGAAAAAAAAAAAATGAGTAAGAAGTGGGATATAAACGTATTTTACTTACTCGAAATCGGTTCAACGTCATCTACGGTAAGATCGTCTTTGAGGTCTGACCAATTCAAAACAAAACTTTCTTTCTCAAGCTCGCTGGTTACTTGTTGAGGGGTAATGGGTACTTCTTTACTAGTTGATGGTTGCGGCTGAGTACCTGTCACTGTTGTCTGAGCGATTCCGTTGAAAATCATCTGTCTATTATGCATTGAATTTTCTACGTAACCCTGGGCGATTATATCTGAACGCCATCTCCCTAGCTGTTTAATCAGTCGCATGTTTGCGCTGGAGTCTGAGAGAAGAGTTACAGACGACCTTCTAAAGCAGTGTCAGTGTATCTCTTAATATTGGGTAGCTCTAAATATAAAGCCATTTTTTTTGGCATTGCTCCTATTGTATGTCGTCTAATAGGTGATCAAGTACATCTACTTCCAGAATATTGGATAAAAAATCTGTCAGTGAATTCGCCAGATAGTCTTAATGACAAGTATTTTTTAATTGTAGGGTAAAACGAATTGCCAATAAGATTAAGACAGAATTTTCCAGGGTAATCATTCTTATTGTCGTTGATTAATACTAAATATTTACTATTAAGATCTTCTACGTCGGCAACTTTCATATTTGTTATTTTTCCACATCTTAAACAGCCACATCGGTAAAGAGTCGCAGGACTTATTTCATGACCTGTCTGTTTCATAAATTACTGGAAGTAGGTAAACCTAGCTACCTTCGTGATTCAATTATTGAAGAGACTGATGTACGACGTTCAAATAGACTTGCTGAGAAGAAACACTCATCTTTTGAGTTACCACGCTTTTCAACTATTTACTTAGAACGATCAATTTTAGTGACTGTGATACGATTTTGGGAAGAGTTATCGAGTGAATTTTGATTATTTGTTAAATTTAGATTGTTGATTAGAAAAATTTTTATTTTTGATAGGTTAATATATATTGTTGAATCGATAAAACTAAATTACTGTGCAATGTGAGGTATATTCACAAATATAGGTATACAAATGCATGGAGTGATCATATACTGGTAGATGATCATCTATTGGGGCTTTTACCTTATTTACATTTTTCATTAACTTTTAAGAAAATAATACTTTTTTGTTATCATATTTGTAAAATTTGCCATTTGGCCTGTACCTTGGTATTAACAATAAACTAAACTAAACATATTCCAAATATTAGTACAACCTGTAAAAATTGTAATTAATTATGATAAATGTGATTAAATAGTGATATTAAAAGCGTATTAGTTGAAAAGCGAATATGCAAATAACTTTTACCTTTATTGCTAAATATTCTGTTCTCATCTTAAAATAAAAGATTTTTTTAGCTTATGTCCTATGACATTTGTTTTAATCAAACTGTTTAAATTTAAAAAATTCCCTATATTAATATCATCATAGCACTTAATGTTTTCTTGAGCATACTCCATACACTCCATAGAAATAATGGACTCAATCTTTTAACTTCCCGCTAAGAAAATCGAAGATTTTCAAAAATCGGGAAGTTATTGTTTTCACCCCGTTTTGCAAAAATCGAGTTTTCATCAGATCTCGACGTTTGAAGGTCACAGGAAGCTTCCCTGACTATCCCTGCGAGGTTGTCACTATATCTGTATGTATGTATGTATGTGTGTGTGTGCGTATGAGTTTTTTTTTTTCCCTTTAGGGGGGGAATCCTTTTTACGGATTCTAGACATAGATGTTGGCCCGGATATGTGGCGACCCGACGCAGCGTTATACTAAAACTTGACGCTGACGCCCCTACCCACCAAACCCTAAACCCCTTTCTCTTCTATCCTCTGATCCCCCATGGTACAGCCGTAAGGCATTTCTTCGCGGGAGGAGGAATTAGCTGCCACTCTTCCTTCTGGTGGCTAAGATGTTATCTTCCTTCTAGATTCTGTCTTTTGCTCTTTTTCTCTCGATGAAACGCAGCTCTGTAAGCACTTTGTGGCAAAAGTGTTTGTTGCATTCCAGGCAGCTTCTGAAGACAACATTGCTTATACGATTAACTCTGGTTGAATTCTCTTCTTCAGGATCCTCTCCAACTCCTCACGTTGTTGATTGAAACGCGAACACTCGAAAAAAAC